CCCCCGGAGCGGGAGGCACGGCTCTCCAGCGCCCGGCGCTCCTGTTCTTGCGTGCAGCTGCCGGAGCCCATCATGCCCTTCCGCATCTACAACGAGCTGATGGGCCTGGCCAAGGAGAGCTTGCAGGGCGGTGAGGCCAAGGGCAAGGGGGGGAAGGGGAGCCCTGAGCTGGTGGACAAAGGAGCCGACACGGACAAGGTGGTGGTGAACCTGGTGCTGAAGCTGAAGGAGCTGCTGCAGGAGCTTCCCTGGGAGAACATGGCCACGCTCCAGTACCTCCTGCAGCACCTGAGAAGGTGAGGAGGGCAGGTCCAGAGCCCGGGCGGGTGCTGGGGCACCTTCCCTGGCGTCCCTGGAGCGAGAGGTGGGCGCAGCCTCCCCATGGACCCTCTCACGCGTTCTTCCTCCTCCTCCTCCTCCCCAGGATCGTGGAAGTGGAACAGGACAACAAGATGACCTCAAGCAACCTGGGCATCGTCTTTGGGCCAACACTGATGCGCCCCAGGCCCACGGACGCCACCATTTCCTTGTCCTCGCTGGTGGATTACCCCCACCAAGCTCGCATCATCGAGGCGCTCATCATCTTCTACTCGACCATCTTTGAGACCAAGGAGAGCGCGGTGCAAAAAAAAAAAAGGACTCATTTAAAAATACATACAATCAGTAGGACAACTGCATAATAATTTAGTTAAAAGATATTGTTACATATTATTAACCCTGACAAAAACACAGGATCGGGGCAGGGAAGGGCTTCCTCGAAGGTGCTCTCGGTCTCTCCGGAGGTCGGGGAGGGAGGATTGCATATATCTGAAAACCAACATCAAAGGCCCCGGGGGAGGCTCCGGGTGACGGCGGAGCAGTGGCCGGCGGCGGGGCCGAGCGGGAGAATTCCTCCTCGCTATTCCTGAGTTTAAGCCTCTCTGAAACGGGTTTTCCTGGGGTCCCTTTCTCTCCTCGCTGAGAACCAGGACCCGGGCGAAGCCGGGGGCTCCCACGAGCGGTGTGGACCGGGACGTACTTTAAATAGCGGAGGGGCTGGGGGAGGGAGAGCCCTGCTCTGCC